GTCATCTGTCAGCAAGAGAAGGACGAGCCTTTGYGAGGTGATGGCTGAGCTGGTTTCGGTAACAGGTCTGGAAGAGACAGCTGGAAATATCCAGCTACTTCTATGTCCTTGTTGGAAAATAATCCCTTGGACACTGATGAGTCACGGGGTCACAAATAAGCTTGTGGGGATGAGGGGGAAAGCTGTACTGACAAAATGTAACCAAGAGTGCATATCCCCTAACACTCCCAAGTGGCTGCACACTACCACTTCTTCAAAGCTGAGAAAAAGGGTTGTGTGTCACCCCTCACCCCTGGGGTTTGTTTAAAATGAGTATTTTCGAATCCAGAGGAGGATCTCCAGGAGGTAATTCAGATCYGGTACAGAAACAGAGGACACCTGGTGGTGTTTAGTTGTTAGCATATAAAAACCAGCAATCCAGTTCAGATGTGTGTGCAGCTGCACCAGCAACAATCAACAGAACTCAYGCTTTAAATAAATAAAAGATGGAGTGATGGAGAATTTAAAATAGTGCAATCACAGAAGCACACAGAAATYTCAAACAAACAACATGCGTTTCTGATTCCAGATGCTGCCACTACTTTATGAAAATGAATTTTTTTACTTACAACAGTTACAGGCAAGAAGTAGCAAGTCTACAATCATAGGAGTCTGCCACCTCCACCAGACACATGCTATGGAAAAGTAGGACAGATTCCTCACTACTGAAAAACTGAAGGGCACAAAGATGTCAGTTTTGTTGGAGAAAGATCAATGGAGGCAAGAGGAGAGGAAGAACCAGTTGAGCAGACTCTGGGGCAACAGAACCACCATGAGTTCCTAAAACCACAGCATTTTTGGCACAGCAGAGAAGAACCACTGGTCCACACAGAAGAGAGCTGAGCCCAGCTCCAGCCTGCCACAGCAACCCATGGACTGACGGACAGTGAGCATTCACATTTCCACATTAAGTTAGTGAAATTGTTATTTGAAGGTGCTGTTATTAAGAAAACTCCGTGGAACTTTCTATAGTGCACTAGATAGAGTGAGCTGCAAATATCTCTTGGAATTCAGACACCAGACAGAGTCAACCTCTGTGAGACTCCTTCACTATAAGGACCTGGAGAGCACAGGGGTAGTGAAGCAGGAAAAAAATCTACCCATGCAGTTGGGTGGGGGCTATTTAAAGTATGCATTCTATCACAGAAAAATGAAATAAAGCTCAAGGTCACACTCCTGTCATGCTTTTTCATTTAAATATRTTGCAGTAAGTATTAGAATTTACCAGGCTGCAAAGGAATGAATAAAAGCAAAAGACTGYGCAACATGCAGGATATTGTACCCTTCCTTACACATCTTTAATGCATGGACTCAATCCCAGCCAAGATTTTAAGTGTGAAAATTTTGTTATAAAACCCCAAAACAAGTACTTCTCTCTTTTGAGCCAGCACTGTCAACAGAAGAAGAAATCTTCTCATCTCTTCAGCTCGTACCAACACAAACGTGTGGTAAAGCACAGCGGTGACCTGGTTAAAACCAGACTGGTTTGAAAAGCCCCAACAACCCCCGACAGTTGGTTTGAACCCACATCAATTCCCCAATCTGTTCGGATCTGCAGCCACGCAAACACCTACACTGATAGGAGCTCTTAGAAGAAAACTGCTCCCTTCAGCAGCCGCGCTGGCTGAGAGTGAGAATCCAACTGAAGACCTTCTGGTGTTTGCAGGCTTTCTCACCGAAGTTAGCAAAGCAGAACTTCCACTGAAAAACAGATTAGAGGCCAAGTTCAGAATCAGTATGAGGTGTTAGATAGCTTTACRTAAACTTTCAGAGGAGCTCTCAATTTTGTCCCAGGTGACAAGCTAATAGCCTCAACACTGACTGTGCTACTGGAAACAAAACCAATTCAAAAGCCAGTAGCAGATGCAAGAAAAAACTTTAGATTTAGCCTAAAATATGTAAAAGTAAGCTGAGAAAAAATAACAAACAACAAAGTTGTAGGAAAATTGAAAACAAGGCATTTAAGTTATATGAACAAAATCCACCTTGGAAGCCTCAAGGAGAGGATTTGAGCTGGCAAGATAGAGGTTGAGATGGACTACTCTGGAATAGTTGAAGAACCTTTCCCCAGATTCTCTCTAATGCAGTTTTCCAAGGAAAAATGCCCCAGATATCATACCCTCTAGGGAGTTTGCTTTGTTACCTTTATTTTTAATGTCAGCCAGCAGTATAACCCTTCTGAAAGGTTATCAGTCTGTTATTTTTTAAACACGTTGCTCCTTTTTTCCACTTTTTTGTTAGAACAAGCACATTCTAGGTCCATACCATAAGATATATAAAGACCTTCAGCTTCTGTTTCAATTTAGTGGAATTAGACTTCTTTACAGCAAGTAAAGAAAGTGAATAGAAAACAAAGTTAATCAGTAAGACAGTGTAGGTATTTGAAAGATTTTACACTAAGCTAAGTCATGACAAAAAGAACCAGCTGAGCAATATCAGTTACTTAGAGCACCAAAATGTTTCTTTGTGTACTTGCATAACTTGTGCTTTAGAATTAGATCATTCTCTCAAAAGTAATCAAAATMTTTTGCTTACCTAAGCAGCAGGAAAGAATTTTAAATGTGCACAACAAACCTACTGTTTTTTTTATACTGTGTGCCATGAAGTATTTAAATAATAATTATTGATTGCAGTTAATATATATTGATGTAGCATTTAATATCAATGTGTTATTAATACCTTTAATAACTAAAATACTTATACTAAGGAAAGAACAAAGTTCATGATCTGATTTATGAGTAGTGAAATCAGTTCAGAGACATTATTGGGCACTGAATCACAACSCTAGGGGAGAACAAAAGTCTCCAAACTCCAGCCATAATTGGACTTTTGGGACCTTATTAATTCAGAGTAATAAAAATTCATTAGTTATAATGTGATTCTTTCTAATATAAACACATTCCTCTTAGCATGCTATGGTTTCTCCTCTGAAAGTGGATATTTAGAAGGGAGATTTCAGAATGTTTTGCCTGAGCCATATGATGTAGACAAGCTCAGAAGAGTAGAGGTGTGGTGCAGTTTTTGCAGTTTTATGATGGAACATGCCTCACATCATTGAAGTTTTCCATTTTTTGCCAATACAAGGATTGTTCTCTGGTTTCAGGTGTTCTCTCCCAAAATTCTCCATGTCCAGGGTCACACACAGGCTGATTTATCCTGTTTATCTGTTGCTACARTCTGATGGTGACTTAGCTGTGTATATCAAACTTCCCTGTATGTAAGAGGGTTACAGACTATTTCATGTTTGTTTTAAGCAGATATTATGAGCCCAGTGGAGTCTAAAGATCTAATTATATTTGGAATTTAGTGCAGGCATAAATTTATTTCAGACTGATGGCCTTTCCTCAGACTCCAGGTAGGGAATTTTGAAAACTATAAGCCACAGGAAGACAAAACGGGATTTTTGGCAAGTGTAAAATCCTGAGGGAACAAGACACGCTTCAATTTCATGAGGCACATTTATACATCTAGTGCTCTCRCAGAGCTCAGACAGGTTTATTATGTAGGACTTGAACACTCAAACGCAGCCAGGCTCAGCACGAGGAGAGCGTGAGACAACCCTGAGCACAGCCACGATGATTAAACGCCGTGGGTTTGTGTTTGTGCTCCCCGGGGGATGTGCGAAGAGCTGTAACGCCGGCAACAAGTCCTGAGGAAAGCCTCGGAAYAGGATAAAATATGAAATTTTTTCAAAAATAAATAAATAAAGACGAGGAAAAACAATCAAAGAAGGGGAGTAGAATTGTGATGACCTAAAAACATTAAAGTGAAATGGCGGTGGGATGGGAGACTAAAGGTTAGAGCGGTTTGCTGAAGGTCTCCGTGCTGTGCTGAGGCTGCCGGGTTTGGTGGGACAGCACAGCCGGG